AAAAGTTCAGCAAAATTTTGAAGACATTCTGGCATTTATGGACACGAGTTACAGCGAGTTTGAAACTAAGGACATGATGACTCTGTACAATTTGTATATGAAGTTTTTAAAAACAAGAGCCAAGGGAATGAAACAAATGTCAATTACAGAGTCTTTTGCAATGGCTTCCAAGAAAGCTCGCATTGCATCACCTGCACCTGACTCATTGCATGTTGACCCAGTCAACCCAACAACTTCAGTCAACCCAACACCATCAACATCCACCACCACCTCTTTCATGTAAATAACTATGCTTCATCAACATCGATCATCAACATAGGCGGATCAGGACTTCAATTATTGCTGAGTACAAACAAAATACAGTCACATTTACGCTATGAACGTGTCAATTTTTTCCCTAGAGTTTTTTCATAATTTTTTATATTTTTTTCCTCCATTTCTCATATACGAACTTACATGTTAACCGACAGGTCTCGTCCCCAAGGGGTTCGGAAACCAAGTAGTGCTCTGTACCTGAAATTTATCACCGTTAAACATCATGTTATTTTCAGCTGCCCAATCAAAAACTTTGTTAATATCTGTTTGTAGTTTATCAATGTCTTCAGCAGAGGTAATTTTCATGCTTATTTTTGTATCATCTGCAAAGGATGACACGAAGCTGTGACTTGTGATTTTGTCTATATCTGATATGAGAATAAGGAACAGCAGTGGTGCAAGGACTGTACCTTGAGGTACAGAGCTTTTAACTGCGCTCGGACTCGATTTTACTTGATTGACTGTTACTCTTTGTGTTCTGTTCGACAGCAAATTGAGTATCCAGCGTCCTACTTTACCAGTTATACCTATTGACCTCATTTTGTGTGCAATCACTCCATGGTCACATTTATCGAATGCCTTTGCAAAATCTGTGTATACGACATCTGCATTATATTTTTTATCTAATGCCTCAGAGATTTTGTCATAGTGGTCAAGTAGCTGTGAGAGGCATGATCTTCCTGCTCTAAATCCATGTTGGCCTGGATTGTGGAGGTCATTGGTTTCCATGAATCAAGTGACCTGACTCCTGATCACTCTCTCAAATACTTTTATTATGTGGGACGTTAGTGCAACTGGTCTATAATTCTTTGCCAATGCTTTGCTACCACCCTTGTGTAGAGGGGCAATGTCTGCTGCTTTAAGCGCATCTGGTATCTCCCCTGTGTCCAAGCTCTTCCTCAACACTATACTGAGTGCCTGTGCTACTGGCACTTTGCATTTCTTTATAAATATTGAATTCCATGAGTCTGGACCTGGGGCTGAGTGCATGGGCATATTGTCAATTTCTCTTTCAAAATCTGCCACGCTTGTGTTGATATCAGTAATATTTACAGGTCTTTGAGTATCATTCTTAAAGAAATTGTCTGAATCTTTCACTTTCATGCTGAGTATCGGAGTGCTAAACATGTCCTCATACTGATTTTTTAGGATTTCACTAATTTCTTTGTCATCCTCAGTGTATGAACCTTCACTAATACGAATAGGTCCAATACTGGCAGTGGTTCTCGCTTTTGATTTAGCATATGTGAAGAAATATTTTGGGTTTTTCTTTATTTCTTGAATTGCTTTCTGTTCTAGTTGCCTTTCTTCAGTCTGATAGGAATGCTTCAGTCTCTGTTCGATTTCTTCAATCTCCCTGTTTAAATTATTTCTTATTTGTATGGAGAGTCGTGTCTGCTTAAGCATTTCCGTTAATTTCTTCCTTCTTTTGAAATGTCGTCTGCGTTCTCTCTTTTTTTTTTTTTTTATATATACAAGAGTTGTTACATTCTTGTACAGTGCAACTGTACATATTATACATACATACATATTATTTCTATATTTGACCTCTTTCTGGCTTTCCTCAAAGGAACATGTTTCACACAGACTTCATATGCTTCAGAAGTCAGTTTTTCTATTCCTTATGTAGGATTTTTATTTCTTAGAACATTTTCCCATTGAATGTTTTCAAGTTCCCTGTTTATTTTCTCCCAGTCTATCCTCTTATTATAAAATTGAATTTATTGAATAACACTTCTCGCTTGTTGTTTCTCTTGGGCCTACTACTGTTATTAATGTTAGTTTGCACTTCAATGAGCTTTTGGTCCGAGTACGTAGTGTCTGAGACAGTAATGTCTCTGATTAGCTCCTCATTGTTCATGAATATCAGGTCCAGCGTGTTTTCGTTCCTAGTTGGTTCTGTAATCTGCTGACTGAGCGAGAATTTGTCACAGAATCTCAGTAGTTCTCTGACCTGTGGTTGGTTATTTCCAGGTTGATTTCCTGCTATAATGTTATTGTTTACTATTCTCCATTTTAAACTGGGTAGATTGAAGTCTCCAAGGAAGATGATATCTGGTACTGAGTTTGCTAGGTTATCAAGGATATTCTCTATTTTGTGGATCTGTTCAGTGAATTCCTCAACTGTTGCATCTGGCGGTTTGTATATTAAAATAATAAGTAGATTCATATTTTCTACCTTGATTCCAAGTACAGTACCACTACCACCTCATTGGACGAGTTCAGGAGCTCTGTGCATGCCAGCTCCTCTTTAATATACAGACCTACTCCTCCACTTGACCTAATTACTCTGTCACATCTATATAGATTATAATTCAGAATCCAGTTTTCACTATTTATGTGGTCTTTTGTGTGGGTTTCTGTAAATGCACCAAATATTGAGTTTGATTCTATTAGGAGGCCATTTATGAACTTAACTTTATTTCTTGATTTTGGTTTCAAGCCTTGTATGTTTGCAAATATGAATGATTTCCCACATTGCGTTTCACTTCCAGTGGGCTTTGGTAGTTCTCCCCCCACTCTACCCAGGTCCAGGGTGTGTTGTTTTGGAAGTGATTCGTCCAGTTTTGGTAGTAGGACGGGTGTTGTGTGGTGTAGTACCTGTGTGCTTGTTGATAACTTGTATTCCAGTCTTGTGGGTTTCTCCCTATATGCCTCTATAATAAATCCGTCTTCCTTCAGGTTTAGTTCTTCATCTCCATACTGGGTTTGTTATGAGGTTCCGGAGTCGTCCTGGCTAGCGGACTGCCCGTTGTTGTCGTTGGATGCTTGGGGTGCTTCTGTCGTACCCGCACGCTTAAGTGGCGTCGTGAGGTGTTGACTGTGGTCCAGGTTTACCTGGGGGGGGGGCCACTTTGAGCACTTTAATGATTGCTTGTTCGCTCTTGCCCTTCTGCGGGATGTGGGCACAATTCAGCTTTGCGTGCAGGTTCCTTACCTGTCGGCTGTGCTTGTGGCTGAGGATTTGGGTGCTCGTGGCTTGCTGGCTTCAGTCTTGTGTTTCATTTCCCTTTTGGGGGCTGTTTTCGGATTGGCTTGCTGAGAATGTAGAGGTGCTTGGGGCCATTCCTGGGTCTGGTGCCTAGTTTTGGCTGTTCGTGTGATGTCTGCGCTTTTGAGGCTGTTTGCGCCGATCCTGCGGGATGCGGTGTCGCAATTTTTCCTCTGCGTGTCTTGCGTGTCGGCAGGTTGTGCTTGCTTTGTCAGCGAACTAATAAGCTGACTTCATAACACATTCCTCACTACCTCTCCTTCACTGACCGAACTGACTGATGTGACTGACTTGACTGACTGACTTGGCTGGCTGGCTCGCTGGATCACTTGCTCACTCGACTGACTCGACTGACTTGATTGACTGACTTGACTAATACACAACAAGGAGTTAGCGGGTGATAATGTTTCAGAGGCCATCATTTGTGAGAAAGCCAGGGTATTGCACGAAGACCTTGTAAAGAAAACCCCCCTGGAACTAGTTTTGCATCATTCCCGGGTTGTCTCGGGCATTGTTTCCTTCCGGCCTGCTCATGCTCCTCCTGTGCCGTCCTGCTCTGGGGCAGGATGCTCTTTTTCTCTGTTCCCTTTGATTTGTTGAGGCCCCTTCAGTTCCAGAGGGGTCCTTGGGGTTGTTGCTGCTTGGTTGGTTGGCCGGGGTGCTTTATGTGTCCAGTTGTGGCGCTCCACTGTTCTTTGCGCGCGGCAGTCTCTGTGGCCGGACTGCGCTTTGGGTTGATCCGGTTTCCCTTCCTGTTCTCAGGTTCGGGACTCTCCAGTCATCCACTAAGTCCTTCTGTCTAGCCGGCCTGCGGTCTCTCCAAATGCCCTTGATGTTTGTAGGTTTGCTGCGCTTGCTGCCGTCTTTATTGGCGTGTCTTGGGCTGAAATTCGGGCACAGGGTGGATTTGGCGGTCGCGCTGGGTCCTGGCTGCCCGCTTCTTCGTGTCTGTTCCTGGCCCTTGTCAGGCCTATGTCGCCTTGGGTCGGCTGTTGCAGCCTGTTGTCTCGACTTCATGTTGTGGTGTAAGCACCAGCCGCCTCCCAGATGCGTTCCTCTTTTTCTGTCTTTGATGAAGTAGCTCTGGGGAGCCCTCGGGGCTTCCCCCAGAAAACCAGCGTTGAATGTAATGAAACGCCATTTTCTGGGTGAGTCCTGGAGGCTCCGCGGCAACCCTCCCTCCGTCCCTCCAGTCGGCGGTTTTTCACATTTTTGATATCCAGCTTCAGAACTGAGGTGTGGATCGCCGGCACGAGGGTCTTGGGCTCCCCCTTCCCCTTTCCCCTCCCCGGGTAGGGGGAAGCTGTGCAGACATGCAGCATGGCTCGTGTGATGTCATGCTTGTTTGCTAGTTTTTCTTTTGGGGAGTTCTGTCCACTCGTTTGACGATTTTCGGTGTTAACCAGAATAGGGGTTTGTTTTGTGGCGCTTACCTTTCTGGGTGCCTGTCCTGGTCTATGGCAGATATAGAATGCTCCAAATCACATGTGCATTTCTATGGGCCATTGCTCCTCGTGCCTCTGTGAGGGGGGCCAGGTTCTGGCTTGTGGACCCCGGTAGGCCTAGAACTACACCCACATCGACTGATACAAAATAGTTAGGGTATCCATCTCAGCCATGAATAGCTCCGGGGAGCCTCCGAGACTCGCCCAGAAAATGACGTTTCATTACATTCAACGTTGGTTTTTTGCAGAAAACTGCAAGACCAATATTAATAAGGACAGCACAATTGAATCTGCTACTGAGGCAGTTTTAGTTAAAGGACCATGGGTAGTGCTTCAGGACCATCTTACTCATTATCCACTAATTATGAGGCATCTTGCTGAAGTACAGTAAGTCTTAAATATTGTTTTATGAAATTCTTATTGTTTTATAAAATTCTCATTAAATACAGTAAACATATCATCTTTATGTGCATTGTAACACATGGCATCCTTAACCCTTACACTGCACAATACATATATAGCTGATGGGAGTAACTTTACCGATATCGCGCAATACATCAATAGACATTTGAGTGTCTAGCTCTAGATTTTAAATGCCCGGCGAAGGATAGGGGGCAGCTATAGTCCAGTCACAACCGATAGTTAACAGACGCTACCTAGAAAAAAATTGTGGGCAACATTCCCGGGTGTGAGAGCCTCAGTACTAAGTGAGCCACCAAGGCTGTGTGCATCAGCCTTGGTGGTGAGTACATTAGGTGAGTATATTAGGTGAGTACAATTAGATGAGTACAGCATGAGCTCATAGCACTGCTGTTCAGCTTGTGGCCACAGCATCGCCTAAAAATGTCAAAATATATATGTACATGTTATTATTTAGCGATGATAGTATTACAGAAGACCCTTGGCTGTGAAACTTACCAAGATTTTGATAATTGCAGGATTGTGGTGATATTTAGCTCTGTGCTTCATGGTGGGGGAGTAATACTGAGGGAGGGAGGGAGGTGGCACTGTTTTCTGACTGTGTGTGGCCACCTTTTATTGATGTCTGATATTATATCGTTTTCCTCCAGGTGTTCTACCCATTTAGTTTTAATTATTTTTTCCAATATTCTGACTATTACACTTGTCAATGATACAGATCTGTAATTAAGGGGGTCTTCCCTGCTTCCACTTTTGTAGATTGGAACTATGTTAGCCTTTTTCCACACATCAGCTCAACTCCTGTACACAGAGATGCCTGAAAAATCAGTTGAAGTGGAATGCTGAGCTCAGGTGCACATTCTCTCAGAACCCATGGTGAAACTCCATCTGGACAAACTGCTTTGTTCTTACTTAGCTCCTTGAGCATTTTTTCCACTTCGTCTCTAGACACCTCTATGTGCTCTATGTTGTTCTCTGGAATTCTTATTGTATCTGGTTCGCTAAAGATTTAATTTTGTACAAACACACTTTGGAACTTTTCGTTTAATGTGTCACACATTTCATTTTCATTTTCCGTGAATATATTTCCCATTTTCAACCTCTGAATATTATCCTTTACCTGCAATTTGTTGTTTATGAATTTATCGAATAGACCTGTTTCTGTTTTACATTTGTCTGCAATGTGTGATAGTGACTGTACAATGTTCAAATATCAGTGAATCAATGCTGTTCAATATGTACACAGCGGTAGCCATAGCACCACAGCATTATTTCGTCATCTAGAAATCTTCAAACGACTTCTCATGTTCTTTTACAAAATAAACTTGAGGTAAATTATTGATATACAGGATTTAGTGATCATGATTTTGATAATAGCAGGATTGTGGTGATAATTAGAGCTGTGCATAGTATTGTGGGAGGAAGAATTTTGGTGAGGGAGGAAGGGAATCGAGGTAGTGTCACTATGTGTGGCAGCCATTCTTGTTTGGACTCGCCACACTAGCTTAGTGGTTCGCTATGGTGAACAAAAATTTAGATACTTATATATAACGTGTGAGTAAATAGTGTAATATCAGCAACAGGAGTATGTTGGGATGAGCCATTTTGGTGAGGGAGGTGGCGTCATATTTCTAGCGTCATCTGCTGAGTGACTTGTCATGCAGTGTACTCACCTAATTGTGCTTGCGGTGGTTTAGCTTTGTTTCTTTGGTTCCGCTTCTCAACTGTCAATCAACTGCTGTACAGATTCCTGAGCCTACTGGGTTCTATCATATCTACATTTGAAACTGTGTATGGAGTCAGCTTCCACTACATCACTTCCTAGAGCATTCCATTTATTAACTACTCTGACACTGAAAAAATTCTTTCTAGCATCTCTGTGGCTCATCTGGATACTAAGTTTCCACCTGTGTCCCCTTGTTCGTGTCCTACCCGTGCTGAAGAGTTTGTCTTTGTCCACCCTGTCAATTCCCCTGAGAATTTTGTAGGTGGTTATCATGTCTCCCCTTACATTTCTGTTTTCCAGGGACGTGAGGTTCAGCTCCTTTAGCCTTTCCTCGTAGCTCATAGTTCCTCGTAGTTCCTCTCAGTTCCGGGACGAGCCTGGTGGCATACCACTGAATCTTCTCTAACTTTGTCTTGTGTTTAACTAGGTATGGACTCCAGGCTGGCACTGCATATTCCAAGATTGGTCTGACATAAGTGGTATACAGGGTCCTGAATGATTCCTTACACAAGTTTCTAAAGGCAGTTCTTATGTTGGCCAGTCTAGCATATGCCGCTAATGATATCCTTTTGATGTGGGCCTCTGGAGACAGGTTCAGTGTGATATAAACCCCCCAGATCTTTCTCTCTATTTGACTTTTGCAGGATTTCACCTCCCAGGTGATACCTTGTGTTCAGCCTCCTGCTCTTTTCGCCTAATTTCATTACTTTACACTTTCCCGAGTTGAACTTTAGCAGCCATTTTCTAGACCATTCCTCCAGTTTGTCCAGGTCATCCTGTAGTCTCTGTGTATCTTCATCCGTCTTGATTCTTCTCATAATTTTTGCATCATCAGCAAACATTGAGAGGAATGAGTCAATACCCTCCGGAAGATTGTTTACATATATTAGAAACAGGATGGGTCCAAGTACTGAGCCCTGTGGGACTCCGCTGGTGACATCTCGCCACTCTGATGTCTCCCCCCCTCACCGTTACTCGCTGTTTCCTGTTGTTTAAGTACTCCCTTATCCACTGCAGCACCTTCCCTTTTACTCCTGCCTGTTGCTCCAACTTTTTTAACAGCCTTTTATGGCATACTGTGTCAAAGGCTTTCTGGCAGTCCAGGAAAATGCAGTTGGCCCACCCTTCCCTTTCCTGCCTAATTTTTGTTGCCTGGTCATAGAATTCTAGTAAACCAGTGAGGCACGATTTATCATCTCTGAAACCATGTTGGTGGTGCGTTACAAAGATATTTCCCTCCAGATGCTCTACGAGCCTTTTCCTCACAATCTTCTCCATCACCTTGCATGGTATACAAGTTAGGGAAACTGACCTGTAGTTCAGTGCCTCTTGCCTGTCACCCTTCTTGTATATTGGGATTACGTTAGCTGTCTTGCAACTTTCTGGTAGGTCTCCTGTTTCCAGTGACCTCTTATGTACCATAGAGAGTGGCACACTTAGTGCTTCTGCACCTTCCTTTAGTATCCATGGTGAGATTCTGTCAGGCTCAACAGCCTTTGTCACATCAGCTCCAACAGACACCTTTTGACCTCATCACTGGTGAGGTCAAATTCCTCCAAGGTTGCTTGGTTTGCCTCCTCATTTAGTGCAGGGGCTTCTCCTTGTTCTATTGTGAAGACCTCCTGGAATATCTTGTTGAGTTCTTCACATACCTCCTTGTCATTCTCTCTGTATCTGTTCTCTTTTTTCAATTTCATCACTTGTTTCTTCACTGCTGTTTTCCTCCTGATGTGGCTGAGGAGGAGCTTTGATTGGGTCTTGGCTTTACTCACTATGTCATTTTCAAACTGTCTCTCTGCTTCCCTCCTCACTCTGAGGTACTCATTTCTGGCCCTCTGGTATATCTCCCTGCTCTCCAGTGTTCTGTTATTTCTGTAGTTTCTCCATGTTCTTTTATTCAGTTGCTTCGCTACCTTGCATTCCTGGTTGAACCATGTATTTTTCTGTTGTTTTCGTTTCTCTCCTTTTGGACCGGGATAAACCTGACCTATGTGCAGCTTCCTGGCATTTCTGGGTGATAAAATCCATCATGTCCTGCACAGTCTTGTCTTTAATTTCTGTTTCCCATGGTATTCCCCTTAGGAAGTGCCTCATCTCGTCATATTTTCCTCTTCGGTAGTTTAATCTTTTCCCCTCCGATCCCATCCCTGGATAGGTTATCCCTACCTCCACCAAGTACTCAAAAGTCAGTACACTGTGATCACTCATTCCTATGGGGGGCTTCAACTTTGACTTCCCTTATTTTGAATCGTTCAGGGTGAATATCATGTCGAGTCTAGCTGGTTCATCATTCCCTCTCACTCTTGTGGGTTCCCTGACATACTGCCTCAGAAAGTTCCTTGTTGCCACTTCCAAGAGTTTAGCTCTCCATGTATGTAGTTAAATATGACCGAAAAAGTGAGATTAATAATTCTAATACGAATTTTCTCTATTTCTTATGTTTCTTTTTACTATTGATGGTAATTGAAAAGTCAATTCTCCAAAATTCATTTTTAATTCTAGTCTGACGTGACGCTTGAATGCGTTTCGTAATAACTTATTACATTTTCAAAGACTTTAGTTTACACACACAACTGTAACCTAAAAACACTAAACAGAGTTTTACTTATACTAACACTAAACAGCTTATCCGTCTTACATATATACTCGCACTTGGGTGAGGTGATATGGTGCAACAGTTTTGGATGAGGTGAACAAATTTGTGACAAAAAGCATAAGAATAAGGATATGAGAGCATAAGAATGGAAGTAACTGCAGAGGGCCTATTGGCCCATACTTCCTCTTGATGCTTCTATATTGGTTCAGAGTCTTGAAGTGGGTAGAATATAGTTGTGCATTAATTGGCTGTTGATTGTTGGTGTTGACTTTTTGATGTGTAGTGCCTCGCAGATGTCGAGCCGCCTGCTATCGCTGTACCTATCAATGATTTCTGCGTTGTCTGTTAAGATTTCTCTGGTGATGGTCTGATTGTGAGAGGAGATTATGTGTTCCTTTATGGACTCCTGTTGCTTATGCATTGTTAATCGCCTGGAAAGAGATGTTGTTGTCTTGCCTATATACTGAGTTCTTTGGGGCTTACAGTCCCCAAGTGGGCATTTGAAGGCATAGACGACATTGGTCTCTTTCAAGGCATTCTGCTTTGTGCCTGGAGAGTTTTTCATGAGTAGGTTGGCAATATTTTTTCTTTTATAGTAAATCGTCAATAGTATTTTCTGTTTTTTGTCTGTAGGGATAATGTTCC